CACTGATTCCAGATCCAAATTGCTCAGTCTACAAGTAAAAAATGTGCCTGCCCTGGAGGATTTAAGAGATGAGTTGGACTCCTTCCTTCTCATGCAACAGGTTGCGATCAACGGCTCGATGTCGAGCTGGCAGCCGGTATCAAGCGGAGTGCCTCAGGGGTCGGTCCTGGCACCAGTTTTGTTCAACATCTTTATTAATGATCTGGATGATGGGATGGATTGCACCCTCAGCAAGTTCACAGATGACACTAAACTGGGGGGAGAGGTAGATACACTAGAAGATAGGGATAGGGTCCAGAGTGACCTGGACAAGTTGGAGGATTGGGCCAAAAGAAATCTGATGAGGTTCAATAAGGACAAGTGCAGAGTCTTGCATTTAGGATGGAAGAATCCCATGCACCGCTACAGGCTGGGGACCATCTGGCTAAGCAGCAGTTCTGCAGAAAAGGACCTGGGGATTACAGTGAACAAGAAGCTGGATATGAGTCAGCAGCGTGCCCTTGTTGCCAAGAAGGCTAACGGCATATTGGGCTGCATTAATAGAAACATTCCCAGCAGATCGAGGGAGGTGATTATTCCCCTCTATTCGGCACTGGTGAGGCCACATCTGGAGTACTGCGTCCAGTTTTGGGCCCCACACTACAGAAAGGATGTGGACCAATTGGAGAGAGTCCAGTGGAGGGCAACGAAAATGATCAAGAGGCTGGGGCACATGACTTACAAGGAGAGGCTGAGGGAACTGGGATTGTTTAGTCTGCAGAAGAAAAGAGTGAGGCGGGATTTGATAGCAGCCTTCAACTACCTCAAGGAGGGTTGGATGGAGCTCGACTATTGTCAGTGGTGGCAGATGACAGAACAAGGAGCAATGGTCTCAAGTTGCAGTGGGGCAGGTCTAGGTTGGATATTAGGAAACACTATTTCACTAGGAGGATGGTGAAGCACTAGAATGGGTTACCTAGGGAGGTGGTAAAATCTCCATCCTTAGAGGTTTTTTAAGCCCCGGTTTGACAAAGCCCTGGCTGGGATGATTTAGTTGGTGTTGGTCCTGCTTTGAACAAAGGGTTGGATTAGATGACCTCCTGAGGTCTCTTCCAACACTAATCTTCTATGATCCTAACATCACCAAAATTAAAGGACCAAATTGGAGCCATCACCGGGGCTGTACAGGAGCGACTGAGTGGAATTTAGCAAACAATTCTGTTGATGCTCATGAAGAAAGAGAATCCAGCTGCCCCACCTTAGTTGCTGGGCACGCTCTGCAGGGCTAACAAGAGTCATTGAAGTGGTAGATAATCACTGAATTTACAAAGATCTGTTGTGTCAGAAGGTGCTACAGTATTTGTACATAGTCTCCTTTCGGAGTCAGACCATGCTTTAAACAGCATTTGGGCTGCTCTGGACCATTTGGGCTGGTTGCTTTGCACAAGCCATATTTGAAAAAAATTAAAAGAAAGTTAAACTTTAAAAAATAACATTTGCACTTATGACCTCAGAGTGACGGTGAGAGCAGTGCTGTGTGGTTATGGAAAATGTAAATATGTGGGTCTAAACTAACTGGAAAATGTCCCTTCAATTTCTGTTCTGTAGCCCTGTTTCCTGCTGCTGCAGGTCAGCTTGTAATCAGGATCCACCATTAAAATCTCCTACTATCATAAGAGGCTGCACAGTGAGCAGATCTGTTGGGCTTGTTCGCTGATGAATGTGCCCACAGAGAAATCCTTCTGGAGGGTAGGAGGAGGGTTTTTTGCAGCCTAGCTTCTTTCAGCTTGTTCTTTCTTCACCTCACTGTTTCACCTGTATCTAATTCAATTCAGTTGTGATGAACTTGCCTGAATGAAGATAGAACTTGCCTGAATGAATTAAATATCCCATCTCTCACCATGCAAATGATCACTTCTGGTTGCTTGCCTGCACTGTGAATCCTGTACAGTCACACTATACAGAGGTGAAATAATACTGGGCACTTATATAGCACCTACCTTTTGAGGATCTCATGGCACATTATCAATTTTTATGAGTTTAGCCTCAGAACACCCCTGTAAGGTAGGCATTATGATCACCAGTCAATTTTCAGGTGGGGAAACTGACACCCTGAGAGTGTATGTGATTTTCTAAAGTATGTGTGTGCAGGAGCGGGAAACAGTTCAGATCTGCTAACTCCCAGTTCTGTGAATTAGCAAGAGAACATCCTTCAGTTTCTAGTTATTCATAAAGTAGCATTCACCACAGTATATCAGTGTTGCCAACTCTCATGAGTTACCTGCAAGTCTCACAACATTTGATGTTTTATTTAAAAACCCAGCTCCTAGAGACAAGTAATTGCATGAAAATCCCAGGTTTAATTATTTTTAAAAAGGAAGTTTCTAAATCTCATGGTTGTGGAAGAAAACTTGAAAATGTCATCCAAGTGCACCCTGATGGCTCAAAAACCAGAAGACAAAGAAAAAGAATGAAAACATTATTATTAATTATTATTATTATTATTATTATTTTCAATCATGACTTTTGGTGGGTTAACTCATGATTTTTTAACTTTACAGGTTGCCCACATACCAGTGTTCAGGCACTGAAATGAGCCCATAGCAGAAACCAATGAAAGAGCAAAGGAATATGACAGACTACAGAGCTGCAGCTAAGCTGGTAAATACTATTATGGCAAGAAAATGAAGCCACATCTTACTGATATATGATCTCTGTTGGAGCATGACTGTGGTCTAGTAGACCAAATGCTAGCATGGGAGTTGAGATACCTACGTTCTATCCTTAGCTCTGCAACTGAACTATCACATGACTTTGGGCAAGTTTTTGTGCCTTTATTTCCCCATCTGCAAAAGGGAATAATGTTTATTGTCCTTTCACAGAATCATAGAATATCAGGGTTGGAAGGGACCTCAGGAGGTCACCTAGTCCAACCCCCTGCTCAAAGCAGGACCAATCCCCAACTAAATCATCCTAGCCAGGGCTTTGTCAAGCCTGACCTTGAAAACCTCTAAGGAAGGAGATTCCACCACCTCCCTAAGTAACCCATTCCAGTGCTTCACCACCCTCTTAGTGAAAAATGTTTTCCTAATATCCAACCTAAACCTCCTCCACTGCAACTTGAGACCATTACTCCTTGTTCTGTCATTTGCTACCACTGAGAACAGTTTAGATCCATCCTCTTTGGAACCCCCTTTCAGGTAGTTGAAAGCAGCTGTCAAATCCACCCTCATTCTTCTCTTCCCCAGACTAAACAATCCCAGTTCCCTCAGCCTCTCCTCATAAGTCATGTGCTCCAGCCCCCTAATCATTTTTGTTGCCCTCCGCTGGACTCTTTCCAATTTTTCCACATCCTTCTTGTAGTGTGGGGCCCAAAACTGGACACAGTACTCCAGATGAGGCCTCACCAATGTCGAATAGAGGGGAATGATCACATTCCTCAATCTGCTGGCAGTGCTTCTACTTATACAGCCCAAAATGCCGTTAGCCTTCTTGGTAACAAGGGCACACTGTTGACTCATATCCAGCTTCTCATCCATTGTAACCCCTAGGTCCTTTTCTGCAGAACTGCTGCCTAGCCATTTGGTCCCTAGTTTGTAGCAGTGCATGGGATTCTTCCGTCCTAAGTGCAGGACTCTGCACTTGTCCTTGTTGAACCTCATCAGATTTCTTTTGGCCCAATCCCCTCATTTATCTAGGTCCCTCTGTATCCTATCCCTACCCTCCAGCGTATTTACCACTCCTCCCAGTTTAGTGTCATCTGCAAACTTGCTGAGGGTGCAGTCCATGCCATCCTCCAGATCATTTATGAATATATTGAACAAAACCGGCCCCAAGACCGGGGCACTCTGCTTGATACCGGCTGCCAACTAGACATGGAGCCATTGATCTCTACCTGTTGAGCCCGACGATCTAGCCAGCTTTCTATCCACCTTATAGTCCATTCATCCAGCCCATACTTCTTTAACTTGCTGGCAAATATAGCACTGTGCTTTGTATAGCACTTTGAGACCTACAAATGAAAATGACTATAAAAGACAGGTTTCAGAGTAACAGCCGTGTTAGTCTGTATTCGCAAAAAGAAAAGGAGTACTTGTGGCACCTTAGAGACTAACCAATTTATTTGAGCATGAGCTTTCGTGAGCTAGCTGCAGCTAACACTGGGGGAAACTGCTCCTCCCACAATTTTAGCAAGATCTAGGGAGATAGCTAGAAAACTAGTGGTGTTGAGGGTTGTAAACTTGAATTCCTGATCCCACGGTTCAATAAACCAGTGTGTACATGGCTGGGTATTCTTCACTGGCATGTTAGAAACCCAGATGGGCTTCTATTACTTCTATTCTGGTGGTGCCTAGACCCCCTCCCCATGCCCCAGAGATTGGTGCCGGAGTGTGCTGGGCACAGTACAAACACAGGAAGAGACAGCCCCTGCCCTGATACAAACTATATAAGAGAGTGGGAGGGGAAAGTGAGGCCCAGAGTGGGGCCAATGAACGAACAGAGGTCCCTTCAAATAAGAGATGGAGAGTGACCCTAGGCAAAGTGACTCGCCTAAAGGTGCACAGCAGGTGAGTAGCAGAGCCAGGAATAGAACCCAGAGCACCTGTCCAGGGGGTATTAGCATGGGATTCCAGCCACCATGATACCCACCCAAACTGGTGTTATCAGGGACACCACCAAGCACAGGGAACTGGGATTAACACACCCACCCCTTGGAAGCAGACGGAGAAACAGGGGTAGGGTGCCCCCATAACTGACAGATTCGTTAGGGTCTGCGGGAAGCAAACCCGCTACAACAAACCGCAGCCCCCGTGTCTCCCATCCATCCACTGGCCCTGCTAGAGCCCACTTAGCTTGGGCCAGCTGCTAGCCGCCCTCCAGCGACGTGCCACACTAGCGCATGCGCAGTTTTCAAACTTCTCCGCGAGCCGCCACCACAGACGCATGCGCACCAAGGTACGGTGGCCGGGCGGCAGTGGGGAGCCGACAGCGCCTGTGTGGATGGAGAGGTTAAATGGGGGCGGGATGGCGCAGGCGCGCTCAGACTCCGGCTGCCGGAGCGTCAACAAGGCGCTGGAAGGGATGAGGGGGCGGTCGGGGTCGAGCGAGGCCCGGAGCCGCTGAGGGCCGAGCCCGCGCCCCCAAGCTCCCTGCCGGCCGGGGGGGTCCCGCCGCCCAGGGAGGCGCCATGAACCTGGCCAGTCAGAGCGGGGAGGCCGGCTCCGGCCAGCTGCTCTTCGCCAACTTCAACCAGGACAACACGTAAGGGCGGGGGGCAGCTCGGGGGTGTAGCTGGCAGCGGGCGTGACCTGGAGGTGGGGGCGGCGGGCGTCTGGGCCGGGTAAGGGGCGGTGCCGCCTGTTCCTCGTCCCCGGGGCGGTGAGGGCGTAGCCCGCCTTGCCCCGCTGCCTGCGGGGGTGTTCCGCTGCCCCCCGCCCGGCCCAGCCCACGGGCTATTGCTGGAGCGAGCCCCCTCCAGCGCCCTCGCTCCCATGGGTGCTGGAACTAGGAGTTCGGGGGGCGGGCTGCTGCTGCACCCCCTGGCGGGAAGTGGTTTCCGTCTTCTACAGGGTTTACAGTTTGGCTCAAAGAACCGGCGCATTGTGGCACCTTAGAGACTAACGCGTTTATTTGAGCATAAGCTTTCGTGAGCTACAGTTGAGGTGTAGCTCACGAAAGCTTATGCGCAAATAAATGCGTTAGTCTCTAAGGTGCCACAAGTGCGCCTGTTCTTTTTGTGGATACAGACTCACACGGCTGCTACTGTAAAACCTGTCATTATGCAAGTTTGGTTCAATGGCTCTCCCTACCCCCCCTATGTAAAGTGGTCCAGCACCCAGCTCACTCCCCATCCAGCTCTTCTCCCCCATTGGCTAGGATACTTGCCCTTTTTTTTGAGCCCCTCACTCACTCCCCCAATTCGGATTGTGAGGATGCACTTCTGTTTTCAGTTCCCCCACTTGGAAGATAATGCTTCTGTAAGTGCTGTTGGTCTATAGACCACAGTGCTTGTCAGAGCTGGGTCAGTGTCACTTTCATTTTACAGCTGGGGAGACTGAGGCACAGAGAGGCTAAATGACTTTTTTGTGGTTATGCAGTAAATCCGTGGCAGGAGCAGGCATAAGGCCCGTTTGTCATATGCAATCTTGAAGTACAAGTAGGGATGTTTAGCAAGTACTGCCTCTTAACACCACAAAGTTTGACTGGTCTGTGATGTGGTTATCCTCCTCTTTTAGTTGTTATCCTTGAGACGTGCTCCTCCCTTTGGGTCTCCCTGGGGTGTCTCCCTTGTTCACTTTCTGATGCCCATTCTCTTCTAGGAGGAGATAGTGTTTTGGTTAGACTGAGGGATGGGACTCCAAGGAGTTAGTGAGGCTTGGGTTTGCAACTCAGTGTGGTCATATTTTCAAGTAACTTTCCCTTAACCCTCTCTCAGTGGTGTTGAAATAATGGCAATAACTTTCAGAGATACTTTATTAACAGATGCTCCCTTCAGTGTCTTATTCTTCTCAAAGTGCACGAACACCCTCTTTTTTTCATAAAGAACAACGTGCTCCTTAAAAGTCTCTCTCATTTCTGTGTGCGTTGGCTTCTAAAGGCTGGTAATACACTCCACATCACGCTTATCTCCCAAATTATTTGTCCATTGTAGCTCAATGTTTTAGCTTTGTGTATGTGTCTGTCTCCTTAGCTGTGGAATACTGTTTTGGACGCATAATATAAACCCACAGAAAGTGGTGGTTGATGTGGTGGGGAGAAATAAATCCATACATATCGAAGAATAACACTGGAAAGTCTGACTGAAGTTTTACATCTTCCATTTATATATGGGTAACAGGAGAAAGCAGAGGTGATATGAATTATGGAAAGGAGGATTGGGCTGTTGTAAATGGTTAAGAGATTAGATTTATGGAGGAATAACCAAAGGGAAATCTGGCATTGAGAAGGGAGGAGTTCATTCTGGGAAGTAAGAGGAAATTATCTGGGGTTGGGAGCATATGAGTAGCTATTTTTTAATGACTTGTTCTTTGGTAGATCTATAAATGAACAGTAAGAAATCAAATCTCTCTTCCTTGCAGCAGTCTCAAGTCTCTTGATCCCTTTTCAGCACGTATTGCTAAGTGTAGAAAACCCACTGAGATAGTGAATGCAGTGGCGATTCTCTGAGGCGGCTCTATAAAATGAGTGGAAATACTGTATCCAGATCCTCTGAAAGAATAGGAAATACTGTGAACTTGGCTGTTGTACTTACATTGAGAATAGTGCATGGAAACTACAAATAGACTTGGAACAAGGAATTTAGGGGGTGGGTAACTAGTAATATGAAAGAAAAATAGTCTCAAGCATGTTGTAGGTAAATCATAAACTTTCTGTTGTATATTCTTTCAAATCAAATGTGTTTCTGCAGCTTCTTTTGGGACATCATATTGTATACCTTATACAGCTTGGCATGCACTTGAGCATACAGAACATGCACGTTTTTTGTTTGATACGAAGTTCACAACTTTTTATACCAGTCACTAGGTAAATCAAGTCAAAGGATAACAAACTAGAAATTATTTCTTCACCTCTTTTTATCGCTATTTTAAAGGACTAGCATCTAACTTTTTTGAAGTTGACAAGCCTAAAAACTTTACTCTTTCCCCTCCTTAACACTAACAGTTTGTGTTTTTGGTTTTTTTTTACAAATGTCCCCTGAGTTTGTTTTTAAACCATATCACTTTGTATGCAGAGGAAAAATCTTTCTTTCATGATAACTTTGTCTTCAGGATAGCATTTGTATGCTTTTGCAAGTGAAGGAACAGAAAATAGCAATGTGGTAGCCTCCCCGCACACTTCAATATTTTTTGCCTGTGTAGTTGTACTTAAAATGTTCAACTGGTTGCTAAAGAAACTTTATTTAGCATAGGAAGCTTTGTTTGCAGACTGCTTTTTGAGACTATTTCTCATAATGGAATTATGGTCCCTTGTTAATGAAAGTTTATCATAGCGAGGAATTACAGTTGACCTGAATTATTGCCTCTTAATTGTGACTATTTTACACCCCCTGCATTTCCTTTTCCAAAAATGTTCATCTTTCTCTTGAATTGGTCTGTGCTGTTTACTGCCATACCTGGTTTTTGTGTAGGTTTAAAAATGAACCCCAAACTTGCTGAAGGATGTTGTCAGTCATCTTCTTTTCTCTGCAGTTATAGAAATTAAGTTTAGCTAATCTTCATAATACGCATGTTCACAACCCTAAATCCGTGTCTGGTGCCCTGTTCTGTAGTCTTCAGGGTTCCTATTTGGGGGGCAGGGACATTTTCCTCTTTTAATTTTGCTCAAACCAAAGGGCATAAAGGCAGTTTATTTAAAATTATGAAACATTGAAAGGTAAAGTGAATCAGGTCATCCCTCTCTTTAATTAGGAAGCAGATTTATTGATAACTGGCCCAACTTGAAGCAGATATATTAAAAATATCAGATCTTAAAGGCTTCTGTTGAAAAAGCAATCATCTTATGAAATGTTGATCCAGTGTGTCATAAGGGACCTGCTAGCCAGGATGTGTTCTAAGTCTAAAGTTATAAATATTTAAGTAAATAGATTTGTTTAAAATTAAATGAAGGTAGAGAGAATGAAGGTATTGGAAGTTTTTATTGCATCACTCAATTAACTTATATTTTACTGTTTGGATATAAAATCCAGAAGTTAAGATTTTGAATTTAATGCAGTTCCAAATTTCTATGGAAAAGCATGATCTGGCAGGTAGAAGATGGGAAAGAGCTGTCATTGGGGGTGTCAATGAATTGCTTCATTGTGTAGGAGGCAAATACAAGCATACATTACTGTAGGTGCACTTGGTACATACTTACTGAGGTTGAAATGTTGGAACTTGAAAGAATACTGACAAAACACAAGTTGCTGTAGCGTTACATAGTTTTTCAGTTTAAGGAAACATAGTTCCAGGATGTAATCAAGCAGGTATCCCACTCTTCAGCATCTTTCTTAGAAAATAGCATTTTAAATTACAGGTTTCAGAGTACATTTTAAATGTACTTTCATAGGTGCCTTATGTAGTGACACAGTAGTTTCTAGAGATTTAGGCACCATTCACAAAGATTTTACTTGCCTTTTTATCAGAAAATGAGCACATGGCTTTAATTTTATCCACCCAAAGTCTGTCTTGGATTGGGATTGTTTTGGTTCTGTAATTTGGGATTTTTGCCTGAAAAATTCCGTGCACACCTTAGAATTCTTCTCAGTATAGTATCATTCTCTTGGTTCATGCTCCCTTTTGGGGTAGTTCTTTCACTCAAGGAGAATACATTAGAGTGAGACAAAGTCTCAGAGACCAAGACATTTAATTTGGATTTAGACTTAATCAGTTTCCCTTTTTAGATCTACCATTGCATAAATCAGCATGACTTGGTATTCTCTGATTAGAGAAGACTGGGATAGCTTGGAGGGGGCTGCATATCAGGATTCAGGTGCATTAGCACTGCTACGTAATGGAAGCTTGCAGGCAATTTGAGTGCTATATAACATAACCTATCCCAAAATATAAAATAAACCTTAAATATGTAGGTTCAAAAGGGAGTGCTAGTCTAAAATTGGGTACTGTTTAAGATTGGTTTTGGACAGATTAATGTTTTTTGTGGTTTTAAGTTTCTTATGAATTTCCACAGGGTATGCATTTTTCTGTAAAAATTAAAATTAAGGTTAGTTACAAACAGTGTGTAATCTTGTAATTGAGGTATAATTTACATGCAGTGACAAAATTCGGTGAAACTGTCTGGAAATGATACTTTGCAGTACCTTAAAATTTGAGGCCTCTGCTATTTCAAATCTATACGAGAAAGCCAAGACTTCACATTAGACTGCCTGTGAAATTTGTTTTGGGTTTTTTTAAAAAAAACCTAGTTGAATAATAACACCAAGTTTTTCTCTAGAATGGTTGACCTTAATTGTAATTCTTGTTTTTAAAATAAATCCCTCCATTTGGACAGACAATTATGCCAACATTTATCTAGGTTTGAATTTTTTTTTCCAGGTAAGAAATAAAACCCTGAGCAAGGATTTATAATGAAAATGTTGAAATAACTTTAATTATAGTAGTACTGACAGGCACCATCAAAAATATTTTTCATCCCTAATCTCATTACTGTACACTGAATCACATGAGCCAATTATCAGCCCATAAATCTAACCTATCCTGGTGTCTTGTTAGCTCTCTTTTTGCCTTAACAACCTCCCTTGTTTCTGTATTCATAGCAAAAGTTTACACTTTTGAAATGACAGCATGCTCCAATTTGCTGATGCTCCAGGTAAACTAAAGTTGTGATGTAATACACTTACTACTCCATACTTTGTTGGGAATCTCCTTCCTCTGCTTTCAGAACACTTGCATTCCTGCCTATCTACTTGCTGGGAACACTGTGCATTCACCTCTTTGTCCTCTATTTCCCTCTGTTTGAGCTTTCTCACACCTTATAGTAACTTTCCTTCTAGCCAAAGAGGATTGGAGGCCAGAAGGAAAATTTTGGGGTAGAGGTATTTTCTTCAGACCCCATTGGTATCTCAGGAGCAGACAGGAGAGGCAGTCACATGTCAAAAACGTCCTGATTCTGCTGTCCTGGGAGAGTAAGCAATTGAAGGGGGTATTCTTGATAGTCTGAAATTCTAATTAGAAGAGCTGGTCCTCTCATTTGTGTTCAGAATTCAATTTTTGATCTGTCTCAACTTCCTTCATTCTTCTGCTTAGTATAATGGTACAGAATTACAATAGGGAAGTGACTAATTTGATTTGTACCCAAATCCAGCCTTTCTGAAAGTATTTGATCTTTTATACTCACTGTCTAAGCAAACATCAATTGCAGTTACAATCACACATTTAACTGTACAAACACATTTAAGTATACAAACTTGCCATTGCATATTAAAGGTGATCTGCAAATGTAGATAACTTTGCCCTTATTTTGCTGCTTTATGATATATAAAGAGAGCCTGAAAGGATTTTTTTACAACAACAAATATCAAGAATGTACATTCTGGTCTTCTATGGTTTTGCTGCAGGATCTATCAAATGTCTTGGAGCCTGTGTATCATAAGTTCTCATCTTAATTGAAGGGTGATGGACTTGACTATTTATCAGATATCTCTGTAAAATGTCTATTGGTCACTGAAGCTAAACTGTTTTTTAAAAACAGTGTGACTAAAAATCTCTCAATTGACAGACTTTCATTTCTTGACCTCTGGATGTCATTTCACTAGTTCTTCTTTCATCATAAGCCTTGTCTATATTAAGGAATTCTCTTCCAGAAATTCAAACTGGTTTTAAAACTGATTGGGGCACTAGTGTAGATGAGGCTGTAGTATTAGGAAAGCGGTTTTAACTAAACAAGTTATTAAAATATAGTCCTGGCTGCTGGAACCTTTTCTATGCTGCAACTGGTTAGACTTTTGGGGAAAATTTACCTTGAGGTAATGTCTTCTGAGCTAGACAGGACCTGAATATCTAATGTAAAAAAACAAGGAACAGAACATATATTTATAAAAAGAGCCAAAAGAAAACTTTTTAAGGCCTTCCTTATTTGTAGTGTAGAAGCAAGAGAGGACATGTGTCAATTGCTCAGCCCTTTGCAGATCACCTTTAAAATATATACACCCAGAAATAGTTAAAAGTAATTATCACTGAGGATGGAGATACCTGTTGTGAATGACAATCTTGAAATTAATGAGAAAATGAGGAAGGAAAGAATGTTGCATCACAAAATGTACTCTGTTCCTTTGACAAACGTAATTGTAATCTTTTATGATCATGCATAGTATACTAGTAAATGATCTGCATTTTGTAAAAGTAATGAACTCTTTGATAATACTATAAAATTGTCTTTGAGAAGGGAGGAGAAATTGCTGTATGTGTGCAAATTACGGAGTGGACTAGTTAGTGTACAGTATGTACATAATAATAATTAATGTGCAAAATTAAAAAAATAGAATATATGTGAAATTCTAATGGAGGACACTTATACCAAGTTAGGATATATGAAAAACACCTATAACATGTACCATAATGTGTAAGAATTTTAACTTGTATTAAAATCAATAACTGCCTGGAAAAAAACCACTCAATTTCATACTAACTTGTGAATATTGGCAATAATAAAGGAACATAATGCCTAAACCATAAACTAAATTTCTGCTGTACTGTAGCCTCTTTTTGGCAGCTGCTGCTCATGTGAGCACCAGCTTAATGGGTTATTGATCCCATACCCTTCTGCATAGTTAAATTATTTTATTCAGAACTGGGGGGAATCCTACTCTTTGCTTGGTGAAATGATTAGTCTTAACCGTGGGATGGGATCATTTAGACAGTGATTTCTGGTGTCTGAGGGCTTGTCTACATGGGGAATTTATACCAGTATGAGGCAGGGTGTGAATTTAAACCAGTAGAGTTATCACTGAAATTCCCCATGCAGACATTCTTATTCCAATACAAGAGAGCCTTATTCTTGTTTTTGTCACTTTGGAAGTGGTTTAAGCTAAGATGAAAGTCACTCTTATTCCTGAATAAGAGAGTATGCCTACACTGCAAAAAACAGAAATCCCCTGTGGCAGCGAGTCTCAAAGCTGAGGTCAGCTGAATTGGGCTTACTTTTACCACAACAGTGCAGAAGTTCAGGCTCAGGCTGGAGACCAGGTTTGGAGATCCTTCTTCCCTTACCAGGATTTAGAGCTCAGTCTCTAACCCAAGCCCGGACATCTACACTGTGTTTAGCCCTGTAGCTTGAGCCTCAGTTAGTTGACCTAGGCTCTGAGACTCACTGCCTTGAGTGGTCTTTTGCTGTGTAGATATACCCAGAGCATCCACAAAGGGAGTTATACCAGACTTACTCATGAAACTTTCCCATGTAGACAAGCCCTTAGTGACTTTTCCTGCGAACTGTGGACCCAGAAAGATACAATAAGTCATCTGCTCCAGGCCCCCACCTGGTGATGGGAGGACAGCTCTGTGGTTTCCTTCTTCTGGCTCTGACTTTTTGTTTTTGTTTGTTTGTTCTAATGATTTTACCACTCAGTATGTTCTCTACCCACAAATTTCAGTTGAGCTCCCTTAACCGTGGTGTCCCTGAAATGTGTCAGTTTGGGAAGGTGGGTCATTGTGGTTTTTTGTCTACTTCTTTACAGGGTGGATTTGATTTTAAATCATGATTTAAATCACTAGTCAGGAAGACTCAATTTAATCATGGATTTCTACATAAGTGCATTCTTGTTGGTTGTTATAACCTTAATACATATTCTTCACAACTCAGAGATGTAGGTTTCATTTTTAAAAAGTACACATTATACATTTTTAAAGTGATTTATTTTGAAAACTTTTCAGATTAGTTTTACAGCTATATCAGAAAATAATGATTGTTTGGTTATTTCATTTACCAAAGGTAATTGAAGCAGATATTTATGAAGTCATTGGGAGGTGAACTATCTCCAGTTCAACAGGTTAATCATTAATATTTGGAGGATTTTCTTGCCATGCTGCATTAGGAGGGGAACATCACCAGACAGACATTTAAATTGTTTTATTTAACTAAAACAACAATGTTATGTATTCTGGATTTTTTTCTTCAACAGCAAACATATAATATTTTAACAAAACAAGCATATGAATTTTTGAATTTAGTTAAGTATTCAAGTTTTTAAAATCAGGTTTGTTTTTGTTAAAATTGTTTAACTAAAATAGTTAAATGAAATATTTAAAAAAGAAAAATTAAATTGACTATTTCAGCCAGGTCAACATGAGAAACTTAAAATATTGGCTTCTGTAGCTAACTCAGTCGTCTTCATCTTCATTTTCCTGTTTGTTCATAATCTGGAAAAAAAAAAAACAAGCTTTCCTGCTTTTTCAGGTCCCAAACAATTTCTCAATTTGGAATGAATTAGTCCAAAAGAAGAAAATATTCTTTCGACACCGGCAGAAGAAGCTACTGCTGTTAAAAGTGAGATTCACTTCAACAGTCTCTGAATCCAAGTGCTTAAGTGACTTCCCCCAGTTTGCTGGTGTGACTTTCTTTAAAACATCATTCGCAAACATATATTTCTTGAATGCTTCGTATTCCCAAAGTGGGTCTCTTTTATGGCCTGCTGCCATTATAGGTTTTCCCTTCTAGTGAGAGAATGGTCTGGTAGATCTCAAATCAGTGACGGCTACATGAATAGGGGGCTGGAGCACATGACTTATGAGGAGAGGCTGAGGGAACTGGGATTGTTTAGTCTGCAGAAGAAAAGAGTGAGGCAGGATTTGATAGCAGCCTTCAACTACCTCAAGGAGGGTTCCAAAGAGGATGGAGCTCGGCTATTCTCAGTGGTGGCAGATGACAGAACAAGGAGCAATGGTCTCAAGTTGCAGTGGGGGAGGTCTAGGTTGGATATTAGGAAACACTATTTCACTAAGAGGGTGGTGAAGCACTGGAATGGGTTACCTAGGGAGGTGGTGGAACCTCCTTCCTTAGAGGTTTTCAAGGTTAGTCTTTACAAAGCCCTGGCTGGGATGATTTAGTTGGAGATTGGTCCTGCTTTGAGCAGGGGGTTGAACTAGATGACCTCCTGAGGTCCCTTCCAACCCTGATATTCTATGATTCCATGATACACTGAGAGACCTCAAGACTTCTGGAATATGCTGCTCAAACAGTTTTACTTTTGTTTCTGCTGCCTGTCCCTCCCTTCTCACATTTATCTCCAGACAACTTCTCCTTGTCCAGATCTATTCCACCCCCAACAATCTTCTGTTCATTGAACTTTTTGAAACTTTTGCACTTTTAGAGAGAGGTAAGGGATTGACTTTGTGTACGCAAATTTGCAGAGGGACAATAGGGTTGAGGTCTGTTATTTCTCACCTGTATATTATTTATTTTAAAACATTTTTGCTGTAAACAAGCATGTTATCTCTGGAGACAAATCCACAGTCTATGAACTACAAAACTAAGCATCTCTGGTATCTTTTAAACTGGGCTCTGAGTCCCATTGGGTAGATAGAAAGATTAACCTAAATCTATACAGAAGCCCCTGGAACCTCATAACATTGGGTCCCTAATCCATGAACTATTGAAACTTATTTACAAAACTTTTCTTAAACATTACATGAATATATTGACTCATACTATAGAATTAGAATTTATAATCCCTCTTCCATGATGAGATATCTTTGAGCTATAATATATCTTAATTAAAACTATCTTTAGATAGGTTTTTTCCTCAAAAAGCATTTTATCTGATTTTTAATTATTTTTTTTTAAACCATTGATTTTTATCCACCCTGCTTCCGTAGCATTTAAAGCCTTTTTTAATGGAGAAGGAACTACAGGTGATCCAAATGATGACAAAAGTAAAACGACCCTTTCTGGTGTGTGTGGACCTGTCAATGCAATGGTGATACAGCCATCTGCTATAGTGCCCATTTAAGATGTATAAATATAAAACAGAAGGTTACTGAGGTATTGCATACTAAATATGAGATACTTCTCTGTAAACCTATTACTAGGAAGCAACAAACTGCCCATGAGGGAATCATACTGGATCCTTGTAGCTTGTATTGCAATAGAGTAATCAACTCTGCATTGTGACTCGATTTATTTGAAGCCAGTTACATGTTTGTGTGCTTTCATGAAGTGAGATTTGTAATGCCATTCCAAATCAAATGATTGTATCTTGTCTCTCTAGTTTAAGGGAAATCCTTGGTGTCTGACACAGCTGAGGAATTGAACTCATTGCATTCCTAATTTACAATCTTAGATACTTTCATGGAATCCAGATAAACATTCACTGGACTCATCCTTATAAAGGTTAAAGAAATCCCATAAACTTATCGGATGCAATCTGCTCTTTGTCCAATATATTTTCAATGTTGTCAAAAGTAAATTTAGTGTGGTTGTAGGTGTTTTCGTAGAACAATGGCAACAAAAAGAAATTAAACTTTTTACGCCCTCCTCATACCTGCATTAAATGAAATACCTTTAAGAATGTTACTGATTCTGGAGAGATTTACTACTGCTTCCTCTCCCAGACATCTTAAATACAAAACCGTTAAAGGTGTTGGTAGTGACAGTTTTTTGGCAATAGTTGTTGCAGTTTTTTTGTTGAGTTAAAATCCTTTAAAGTAGGAAAGCATGTTTTCTTAACTGAAATTACATCACTTACACACAGGTTTAAATTTCTCGGAAGATGGATGTAAATCTGTTTAATAGTTTGAGAGCTCAGAGGAGTTAAAAATGTCACCTTTTGAAACTTCAGGGCTGGTGTCTAACTTTTTTTTGGAACCCTTGTAACTTAAATACAGCTCACTTTTGAAGTCAGGAAAGGAAAGTATAACGAGTAAGTTGCATTTAAAATAATATTAATGAGAAAGTTAATTGTTAATGTTTTACAATTATAGTGTACTATGTTCATTTAAATTTCAAGGGCCTGCAGGCTTAGAGTGATGGTGACACAGGTATTCTTCACCTTGGCTAATAGGCTTTAGTCTTTGGGCTTATAGTTGAGTGACTTTTTCAAGCCCTGACGATAAATCTGTTGAAAGAGTTTGTATGACTTGTGGGTCAGAGTTCAGGTTGCTGGAATGTACAAACTGAATTTCCACATGTTCACATTGTTAACAAACTGTATGAACTATAAAGGAGGTAGGATATTTATGTAAAATTATTTTCAAAGGTGATTAAGTCATGTGAAAAGGGAGACAAATTATGTATGTTGTCTTTTGCTGTTTTATGATGAAAGAGGAACTTTTAAAGGTTTTTTTGCTGGGGGTTCTTTATATTAATAATTCAAGTCCTGTTCTTGAAGACTCTGGAAAATTAACAAAATGGCATTATGAGCTAAGAGTGCAAACTGAGCAGAGGGAGGGGGAAGGTCTTAAGTTAAATTGTTTAAAACTTTTTGTTCTGCTCTTAACATCTGTTTAACATCAGTGGCTAGCATTTTGGAGAAAGAAACCCAATGTTTAAAGATACAGAATGGTACCCGTGTTGAAATGAGGAGAGCTAACAACTCTAAGTCCAAAGAGTCCTCTAGCAAAACCAGAATTGACATTCCATAACTTCTCAGGTGGGAAAACTGGCAGAAACTTTGTAGGAAAAAATCTTGTACAGCATCAAGAAGCAAAAAATGAGCACAAGCTTTATTTAAAAAAAAAAAAATCCATTGCGGCCCATCTTTAATGGTGATGTTGTAATTATGTATTTTTCCATTGGGTTACATTGCTTAAGCAACCTTAACTCTAAATTAAAGCTTTTTGTTTGGGGTACAGAATGGGGTGAAAAAATCACTAGTGTGATTGCTTCAGGTTTCAGACTTAAATTAGGCTGTGTTGTGCCCTGTTAAAAATGTGAAACATAATTTCCCATTTGGGACAAATGTTGAAACCATCTGGTTTTCTCTCTGTTGAGAAAAACTGAGTATTCAGTGTCAATTTTTCTGTCAAGCTTCTCAACTACCATTCCTTTTGAGCTGATCACAAAATGAGTTTTGAAATTTGCTGCTTATAGTCTGACAGTCTATTCAGTTTCTGTTCCTAATGGACTAATCTGATGTTTCTTTGCAGGTCCCTAGCTGTTGGCAGTAAGTCAGGTTACAAATTCTTCTCCCTTTCTTCTGTGGACAAACTGGAACAGATCTATGAATGTAGTAAGTGTCCTTTTCTAACTTTTTTGGGGGGAGGGTAGGGAGGGGGACTTTTTTAGACTGATTGGCAGACTAAGCCAGGTCTCACTGTTTTTTCTAAAGGTTGACTGAAAGTCATGTGGTTGGGGCTTTAATTTTATCGTGAAACATACATGAAAGAAACAGTTGGACTACTAAGAGGTTTTCATTATTTTTATTTATATATATATCTATATTGAGAGAGAGAGAGGCGGTATACAGTGAACTCTGGTAAGTCACCAAAGGAAGTGGTGTTTTCTGGCCACCATAATTGGTTACTGCATAATGTGATGTGACTTATGTGGAAAAGATCTCATGGGGTTCACAGTTAGCATAGCCTTTACTCTAATTTATTTAAAAAAAAAAACTAATTATGGCATTGTTTTGCATCCTAGTGTCTTTGTTACAGGGACAAGTTGTAAAAAGAGAATACCTCAGGGTCTTGCTGCTCAATAGCTTCTGCTTTCCTCACCAAAGCCAATGAAATGTCTGCAGCCTTCCAGTCCCCTTCTCTTCACCCCCATCCTATTCCAACTGACTGAAGCTGAATTGAATACTTTAAAAAAGGGTACATTTCTAAGCTTGACCCATTTGAGGTGCCACTCATGCTAGACTATAGACATATTTTCATAATATGAAAATTCTTGCTCTGTAGACAGTGACGTCAGCTGTTAACTCTGAACTCTATTGCTAATTTAGATGTTAACATACCATTAAAACAAAAAGTTGATATTTATTCATTTTTATTCATGTCCTACCTAGAGACATCAGTGGAGATGGGTTCCCCACTGTGGTCGGCTCTGTACAAATACATAATAAGATAGTCACTTTCCCAAAAAGCTCACAATCTGAATACACAAGAGAGACCAAGGATGCAGGAAACCAAGGCACAGAGATACACCTCAGGTCAGACAGCAGATCCCTGGCAGAACTCCCACAGACCCAAGATCCATAGGTTCCAGGGCTGGAGCACCCTTTGCGGGGGGGGAAAAGTGGGTGCTCAGCATTCACTGGTAGCCCCCTGGATCAGCTCCTTCCCAGCCCTCCTGCCTACTGATGGGCCCTAATCAGCTCATCTGCTGTTCACCTGCCACGATCAGCTGTTCAGTGGTGTGCGGGGGGCGGGGAGAGGTGGAGTGTGGGCAGAAAGTGGCGGGGTGGAGTGAGTGCAGGGCCTGGGGTGCAGCGGGGGTCCAGCACCCCTGGGGAAATTACAGTTGGCACCAGTGCAACCAAATCTCCTGACTCCTAGCACAGTGCCCTATCCCGTGGACCACAGTGCTTCCCAGCACGTTTTGGGATTGTTTTAGACCATCTACATTAGTTGATGCTCTGTTCACATTTTGAAAGCTTTCTTTATGAGTATAAAGACCTACCTTGCACTTCATGCTTTAGCAGCTTTTTTAAAAGAAAGTGATCGCTTGGTGAGCTGTTTGAGCTAGCCTGACTTGACCTCCACCCATGGAGCATGCAGTTCCTGCAATAGAGAAGTAAAGAATAAATCAAGATATTTCCATTGTGTATGTATAATTACTTGCTAAATAACTGGAGGGAAAATAGTTAATGACTTGGCAACAGATTTAACAAAATGTTAATTTTACTTCTACATAGTGACACCCTATGCACAAGGTAGCTTAACCCTGCAGAAATGCATTTTGGGGTTTCTCTGGTGTAGAAGTTGGGCAGAGTTGGTGTTGACTTTGGTCCTAAATGGTTGTGTACATGCTGTGCTATTCATATCCTCTATTGGTACCTCTTGTATTTTTCTACTGTAGAATTAAACTCTGCAAATTCTTAAGTAGATCACTAAGGCTATTTCTACACTAGAGACCTTTCAGTAGCATAGCTGTGCTGTCTCCCGAGTAGCCACTCTGTGCTGACTGGAGAGAGCTCTCCCATCAGCATAATTAAACCACCCCCAATGAGCAGCGGTAGCTATGTTGGCGGGAGAGCATCTCCTGCCAACATAGCGCTGCCCACACCAGTGCTTCTGTTGGTATAATTTGTGACAGTCGGGGGTGTGGTTTTTGTTTTTTCCCACACTCCTGACCAACAAAAGAGATATTGTAAACATAGCCTAAATGAAGTACACTACTCAAGAGGTGTAGTATGTATCTGGTTAGAGGAGGGGAACTGGGAATTTTTCCTAGCTCTTACGGTATTTTTGACCGTTTGAGAGCACACACAGTGGGGTAATGTGTGAACTGGTCCCCTTAATGGTGGTTGCATCTGCTGTCTGTCAAAGTTCCAGTAATTTCCTTCTTGACCACGATCACTTACACTCTTTCCATTGAGCCCCATATCAGTTCTGCAGAATGCCACTTCCACATGTACCCTGGCCCCTGACAACACTTCTGCTGGTGTTCTAGAAGTTCTTCAACCCCAGTCCCAGGCCTGGGGGAGTGGCAGGTCCAGTGGGAACCTCTCAGACCCCCTCGTTCCAGGTCTTGGGTTGCCAGGGGAGGGTGGCAGAAAGGAGGAGCTGATTCATTTTTCGTGAGAGGGGAGGAGGGAACAGTCACCCTGAGCAGCTAGGTTCTTTGTTCCTCCTCTCTTCCCTCTTGTAAAAATGGTATATTTGCTATGAAGCACTCTGGAACAACATGGCAGTACATCTGAAGAGTGTAACTTGTACTGTCAGTTACTACTTGCACCAAACTGATCACATTAAGCATTTTAATGTATTTTAAAGTCAAGATGCATCATTACCTCTCTAGATTTAATCATTTTTGGAATTGTGATAAATTGACATATTAAAAATAAATGATTGGTCTGACTTTTTTCTTTTCAAAAGTTGCCCATGGCATCAAGAAGGTTGAGATCCACTGCTTTGAACCATGATTGTGAAAACTTACTAGCCCAGGCACAAAAACTAAGTGCTCATTCTTCCCATGTTGAAAAAGTAATCACTCGTTCCCCTCTGTTTTTAAAAAAAACAGAAAAACAAAAAAAACCCATACACCACTACTTGGCTTGGAAAAGAGGGTGAATAGAATTTTGCAAGGCTTCTTTAAACTATTTTGATGTTTCTCTCATACTTTGGATGCAAGCTTATTTCTGTGTAAACATGTCTGAACCATTACAAGGCAATTAACAAGTTGAATACCACTCCTGATGCACTAGTTAATCTGAAATTTTGATTGAAACTGAAGGATCCTTCATCTATTAAGGTTTCATTTAATAATGAAAAGAACTTGGTATAAACTCTTCCTATAGCAACTTTGGTATTGAGACTGTTTCTTGTAGTAGGTTTCAGAGTAATAGTGTGGCTGATGTTATTAGGCCCTGTAATGGTGTCCCCTGAATAGATATGTGGGCACAGTTGGCAACGGGCTTTGTTGCAAGGATAGGTTCCTGGGTTAGTGGTTCTGTTGTGTGGTATGTGGTTGCTGGTGAGTATTTGCTTCAGGTTGGGGGGCTGTCTGTAGGCAAGGACTGGCCTGTCTCCCAAGGTTTGTGAGAGTGTTGGATCATCCTTCAGGATAGGTTGTATGTCCTTAATAATGCATTGGAGGGGTTTTAGTTGGGGGCTGAAGGTGATGGCTAGTGGTGTTCTGTTATTTTCTTTGTTAGGCCTGTCCTGTAGTAGGTGACTTCTGGGAACTCTTCTGGCTCTATCAATCGGTTTCTTCATTTCCGCAGGTGGGTATTGTAGTTGTAAGAATGCTTGATAGAGATCTTGTAGGTGTTTGTCTCTGTCTGAGGGGTTGGAGCAAATGCAGTTGTATCGCAGAGCTTGGCTGTAGACGATGGATCGTGTGGTGTGGTCAGGGTGAAAGCTGGAGGCACGTAGGTAGGAATAGCGGTCAGTAGGTTTCCGGTATAGGGTGGTGTTTATGTGACCATCGTTTATTAGCACTGTTGTGTCCAGGAAGTGGATCTCTTGTGTGGACTGGACCAGGTTGAGGTTGATGGTGGGATGGAAATTGTTGAAATCATGGTGGAATTCCTCAAGGGCTTCTTTTCCATGGGTCCAGATGATGATGTCATCAATATAGCACAAGTAGAGTAGGGGCATTAGGGGACGAGAGCTAAGGAAGTGTTGTTCTAAGTCAGCCATAAAAATGTTGGCATACTGTGGGACCATGCAGGTACCCATAGCAGTGCCGCTGATCTGAAGGTATACATTGACCCCAAATGTAAAATAGTTATGGGTAAGGACAGTCACAAAGTTCAGCCACCAGGTTAGCCGTGACATTATCGGGGATAGTGTCCTTGACAGCTTGTAGTCCATCTTTGTGTGGAATGTTGGTGTAGAGGGCTTCTACATCCATAGTGGCCAGGATGGTGTTATCAGGAAGATCACCAATGGATTGTAGTTTCCTCAGGAAGTCAGTGGTGTCTCGAAGGTAGCTGGGAATGCTGGTAGTGTAGGGCCTGAGGAGGGAGTCTACATAGCCAGACAATCCTGCTGTCAGGGTGCCAATGCCTGAGATGATGGGGCACCCAGGATTTCCAGGTTTATGGATCTTGGGTAGTAGAATATCCCAGGTCGGGGATCCAGGGGTGTGTCTGTGCAGATTTGATCTTGTGCTTTTTTCAGGGAGTTTCTTGAGCAAATGCTGTAGTTTCTTTTGGTAACTCTCAGTGGGATCAGAGGGTAATGGCTTGTAGAAAGTGGTGTTGGAGAGCTGCCGAACAGCCTCTTGTTTGCTTTGTGTGTATAAAAAGATCTTCTACGCTTTCCACAGTATGCATCCGATGAAGTGAGCTGTAGCTCACGAAAGCTTATGCTCAAATAAATTGGTTAGTCTCTAAGGTGCCACAAGTACTCCTTTTTCTTTTCTTTTCTTTTCTTGTAGTAGGGAGTGCATGCACATCTTACTCAGGGACCTCTTTAAATATTTCAGGTAAAAACTGAAATATATTTGCAAAATGAATTAGCTAAAAACTCACTCATACTGAACAAGTGTGTAGGGTATTGGATGTGTTCATATGCTAGACAGATTGGACAGATAAATATAGTCTTTCAGGCAACTTCTGGCTTGGCTGGTGAGAAGAGTATCAATTGCTTGACTGTACCAAGAGATGCCTCTGAAGCCCTCAGAAATAGTTCTTTCAGGCAGTTTTCCTGTTTGGCAAGCATCAGCATTGCACTAATCCAAATATTGATTTTGAAATGGTAGATTTACAGTAATGGATCAAGGCAGGAAGGCTCAAGGAACTTGTCTTGACTGAGTCTATAATGGAACATCAGGCTTTTAGTAGATATTTATTTACAGCTCTAGAACGGCTGTAGGCATCTGATAAGCACTCTCCTGTTCAGATACTTAACAGATTCATTTCTTCTTTCCACTTTAATATTAAATACATATATACAGCCAGCTGTCCTAGAAAATGCCACTATTGATCCAGCAGGGAGAAAGAGTCGCTGCTTTCTGGCTCAGTGAATTATCCAGATGCTCAGTCTCCATGTCAGTTTTTACAGCTATTTGAGATCATGCCTGGTCAGTTTTCAGATGTGAGACCTCAGAAAAATGAAAGTGCCATGGGAAGAATCATAGAATATCAGGGTTGGAAGGGACCTCAGGAGGTCATCTAGTCCAACCCCCTGCTCAAAGCAGGACCAATCCCCAATTTTTGCCTCAGATCCCTAAATGGCCCCCTCAAGGATTGAACTCACAACCCTGGGTTTAGCAGGCCAGTGTTCAAACCACTGAGCTAGAGCTGGTGGCCCTTACAGTTTCAGAACAACCAATTTACCAACTACCTTGAGTACAGTAGTTTTTCTGTCTGCATAAATTCCAGGTTACTTGGCATCATAAAGCTTTTCACACACACAGGGGTACTGCATTTATCTAGGCAGTCACCTTTTCATTTCACTATACGTTACACAATGTATGATCCTTTCCTTTTATGAGATTTTGATGCAGCCATTCAGTATCCTGTTAATAATATTTACACACAAGTAAACGTATTTTTAAAATACCCTCATTTTACAAACATGTAAAATATTATGGCATGTGAAGAAGGGGCTTTGTAAATCAGAATTCAGTGTATATGGTTCTGTTCGCACATTAAGTTTACATTCTCTTCTCACTTCTTGTGGATTGACTTCAGTCTTTTTGTGGTCTGTAGGGTACTTTTTCTCTAATATGGAATTTCTTACTTCCCTTTCCCTTTTGTAACTCCTTAGCTGACACAGAAGATGTGTGCATCGTGGAGAGGCTGTTCTCCAGTAGCTTGGTGGCCATAGTTAGCCTTAAAGCCCCACGCAAGCTGAAAGTTTGCCACTTTAAGAAGGGGACAGAGATTTGCAACTACAGCTATTCCAATACAATCCTGGCTGTCAAACTAAATAGACAGGTAAGTAATAATGTTTGGGTGTAGAAATGTCTCTTGACAGGCTGGGGATTTGGCCCCTGCCAAGTACTATTTCCCTCTGGTGCCAAAAAATAGTTGGAAACTGCTAATTTTAACTTTCCTGCTTCTAGCCCTGGAAGGGTATAGGCAATTAACATCATAATTTGTGTGAAATTCTGTTGAGTATGAATGTTGTCGTGAAACATCCCCAGGGCATTGTTCTCAATAATTGATTAAAGAACTACATCAGAGTTCCTTAAACTTAATGCTTTCTGTATGGGAACTACTTTGGAAGTTGCATCTTGGTAGGGTTGAGGGCTGTATTAGACAATATACCTTAAATCTCAGGGTGTGCAAGTAACCCAGTTGTTGGGTATTGCTGAGCATGAGTGTATATCTACACTACAGAGACTCTACTGACATAGCTCATGGTGTAGATGCATACTACACCAGCAGAAGGGGTTTTTATGTCTGTGTAGAAACAACCAACTCCTCAAACTGAGTTAGATGTGTCAGAAGGAAGCCATCTTCTGTCAACATAGCTGCATCTGTGCTAGGGGTTATGTTGCTATAGTTAAGTCAGTTAGGGGTGTGGAGTTCTTACACCACTGGTTGATGTACCTATGCCCCTATAAATGTTCAGTATAGAGCAGTCTTCTGAAACAATCTACACCCTCTTTAGCTTAATGTTACTACTTCCCATCAACTCAGAAATGACTAGCATTGCACTGGGCAAGGACTTTCTGCCTTTGTGTTTGAAAATTGCCTAATATGTGGTGGACACAGGTTGTGGTAATCTGTAAGAAATTGTACAAATTCCTTTTAATATATTTAATTTTGTCTTTATTTTCCTGTCCCCTTTCTCTAGAGGCTGATAGTATGCCTAGAAGAGTCTCTATACATACATAACATACGAGACATGAAGGTGCTGCATACAATCAGGGAGACGCCCCCCAACCCTGCTGGTGAATATCTGGGGCTCATTTAATTTAAGAAACACATGAAATGTATAGTCTTTCATTGTGTGCGACTGTTTCTTATAGGAAATTGTGTAGAGCGCTCATTAATAAAATCTTTATTCCCACTTGACAGTGGGAGTTAGCTGCTAGACCCTGAAGTATATTCAGATTCAAAGGGTGCTGAAATTGCCCTGTGACACTAAGTGGATATTTTGAGAATTTCTTTGCATTCATACCATCACAAATAAAGTAATCTCTGCCATCCTATGTGAAACTACTTATTTTTTTTTAGTACCTTATTTTCCCAGTCAGGTGAAAAATTTCATAGGGATGATATTCAGATTTGATCATAATTGAACACTGAAGAAACCATAATGAGCAAGATGTCACCAGAATTTGCATGGCAACACTGCAAAATGCATCTGTAGGGATAATATTTTAGGTATCACGAACTGTGAACCCAGGAAATTCTTGACTCTTTATCACAGTTTCTATACCTTCCATATGACTATTTCTGTCTTAAAATGATCACTTTTTTTAAACTGGTGGCTGTTGGCCTTAAGATTGTCCAGCCCCCATCCCATTTAAGACCCTTCTGAGGACACTGGCTTTGAGTTAAGTTCTGATATTTTGTAGCTTGATCTGAATATAGAACTAAATCTCTGATGGGTAAGTTTTGGCCTTTGCCTCTTTAATCCTTTTTTGCTCATCCTTCATAGGCTTGTGCGCCTTGTCAATAAACAATGATAACTGCTATCTGGCCTATCCAGGAAGTGCGACCATCGGAGAGGTGCAAGTCTTTGACACCATCAATCTGGTAAGAGTCCTTGTCAGTGCTACTGGCACCGTTAAAGATGTGCTTTTTTGAGACTTAGCTTAATAGGCTCAAAGAGGAGTTAACGGAAACTCAAATTACTTGAGATCATTATTGTGGAACGAGGTCTCTACTGTAGTTTGTTTACTGAAGCTGGGCATAAGAAAGCGGAACACAGTAAAGGGGTAATACTACATTTGATTAGTGCAGGGGTGGGCAAACTTCGGCCTGCGGGCTGGATCTGGTACCTCAGGGCTTTGGATCCAGCCCTTGGGATTGCCACCCCCGTGGCGCCGCAGGCCCTGCGCTGCTGTGGGAAGCGCCCAGCACCATGTCCCTGCGGCCCCAGGGGACAGGGACAGAGCTCCGTGCACTGCCCCTGCTTCCACCCCCCGCAGCTCCCATAGGCCGGGAACAGGGAACCATGGCCAATGGGAGCTTCAGGGGAGGTATCCACAGGTGATGGCAGTATGTGGAGCTCTCTGCACTGCTGCCTCCCTCCCTTAGTGCGCCCCCCCCCGGGGCTGCAGAGATGCAGTGCTGGCCGCTTCCTAGAGCTACGCGGGGGCCAGGGCAGGCAGGGAACCTGCCCTGGCCCCAGTGCACACCGCTGCCACCCCGGAGCCGCTTCAGGTAAGCAGCGCCGGGCTGGATGCTGAACCCCTTCTACACCCCGCACCCCAACCCCCTGCTCTGAGCCCCCTTGTACCTCCTGCACCCCAACTCCCTGCTTGCACCCCAGCCCGCTGCCGCACCTCCCCTGCCCTGAGTCCCCTCCCGCACTCTGCATCCCTCCCTGCACCACTGCCCTGAGCCCCCTCCTGTGCATCCCCTCCTGCACCCTGAGCCCCTTCCTGCACACTGCACTCCCTCCCGCACTCCCTCCTGCACCCCAACCCCTTGCCTGAGCCCTACATTCATGGCCCTGCAAGCAATTTCCCCACCCAGATGTGGCCCTCGGGCCAAAAAGTTTGCCCACCTCTGGATTAGTGGTTAGGGTTGGGCATTATAGATTGAAAGCCCTAGGAAAAACTCAGTTAATGCATGTGATTAACACAAAACAAATTAACTAGGTAGTCACGATTAATCACACTGTTAAGCAAAAATAGAATACCAATTTAAATTTATTTATAAATGATTTTGGATGTTTTTCTACATTTTCAAATATATTGACTTCAATTACAACACACAATATCAAGTGTGCAGTGCTCATTTTATACTATTTTTATTAAATATTTGCACTGTAAAAAAAGCAAGAGTATTTTTTTCTATTCACCTCATAAAAGTCCACTCAGTCCTACTTTTGTTCAGCCAGTCGCTAAGGCAAACAAGTTTTTCATTTATGGGAAGAAATGCTGCCTACTTCTTATTTTATAATCTCATCTGAAAGTGAGAACAGGTGTTTAAATGGCATTCTTGTAGCTGGCATTGCAAGGTATTACATGCCAGATGTGCTCATTATTCATATGCCTCTTCCTGCTTCAATTTGTAGGCTCTAAAGTTTTACACTGTGTTGTTTTTAAGTACAGTTATGTTTAAAAAAACCCTGCATTTGTGAGGTGCACTTTCACCATACAGATTGCACTACAGTGTGAGGTATGGGGTAAATTGAAAAATGCTATTTCTTTCTTTTTTACAATGCAAATATTTGTAATCAAAATATAAAGTGAGCACTGTACACTTTAACAGTGCGATTTAAAACTGATTCATCATGACTATTTTATTAATCTCATGACTGACGTTTTTAATATGACCGTTTTTTCCTTATGATCTTTTGTGCTGTCAGTCGTTTCTATGAATGGTGGTGATGTTTTCGTGAAGCTGTACATTCTAGTATATTACCAGGTCTAAAACAGATAATGTACATCTGTTTGGGTTCTCTTAAAAATCCAGCCTTGCATTTTTTGTTTTGATTTTACTTTTTTTATCTGCACTATACTAAGTTCTATATTTTATTGGCTTATTCTTGCAGAGAGCTGCTAACATGATCCCAGCTCATGATAGTCCCTTGGCTGCATTGGCCTTTGATGCAAATGGCACTAAACTTGCCACGGCATCGGAAAAGGTAGGTTTTGATTTGGTTGTGACTATATGGATCAGAGTGAAACTTACTTTGTAGTGTTTCCAAGTATCCTAAATGTTTCACAAGTACTAAAAGAGGTTGGCTGGTATAATTAAAACTCTCTGAATTAGGAGCTACTGGTATTAGTGGTAACAAGGCTTTTAAATGACTACAGACAATCAGATGTAATGTAGTTAGGACATCAGTGATAAAGTATATTTATTGGAAGTTAGCGATCTTGCGTATTATTAGGAAGGTAGAATCATAAAACGGAAACAAGACGGTAAAAGTCAAAGTGGAATAGAGTGAAATGATAGCCTGTATCTGGCACAGACTGACCACTTCTGTCTGAATTACACAAATCAGCACAGGCTTGTCTCATTCTATATTAGATTGGAATATTACACTCTCTCTCAGAACTGAACTGAAGTGCATAGCATTGCCTTTACTTTTATCACATGGTACCATGCCTAAGAGGTAGTGCTAATTGCATTTCCTTTCCACAAGGAAAAGAAATACTGTTCTAAGTATACTTAGAAAGGGAAAAGGCTTCTCCTTGACACAGAACTCCTTCTCTTTAACTTCGTAGGTCAGCTATTAAGCCCATCCTCTCTCTGCTTTTCCCACCCTCTAAAAATACATTTAGCCTTTGGGTTTTAACTGGCTTATGTTGGGTGACTCTTATCTGGTGTGCAGCAATTGTGACAAGAATTGCACAGTATGAACTGGTTGTGATGGTACTCTGATCTTTGTGCACACTGACTAGAGTGAGAACCACAAAGCGGGTATTTAAATTGAGGAATGAGGCTTGGTTTTTTTCTTCATAGGGGACAGTGATCCGAGTATTTTCCATTCCAGAGGGACAGAAACTCTTTGAATTCCGAAGGGGAGTGAAGAGGTGAAGTTCAAAAAAGCTCATTCTCTGAAGCTTGTTCCTTGCGGTAGATTTCCAATGTATTCTGTCATTGACCTTTTTGTATAGCCATGAGTCATAGTAACTGAAGTAAAGTTTATACTTTGCTACAATTGATCCTGAATCCCTTAAAGTTACAGACCAGGTTTGTGAGAGAGCAAAAGAGCGTATGGCCCTCTGCAGCTCTTTTTGACTTGACCAACAGCCTGCCCACTTTGCAGACCTCTGATATGTTTCCACCATAAAGATGCTCCAGCACGCTGACGGACTGTATCGATGCACATCAAGCCATGCTAGCTATAGCGCTACTGCTTGTGGTGGGGTAATGATGCGGGTGTTAGGAAAGATACATCTTTCCTGCTCAAGATTTGTGAGATTTGTTTCTGATATCTGAACTACTGAGGGGCTTTAGAGATTTAACACTGATGTTTGTGTCCAAAACTGGGTTCATTCATTGGACTGCTGAACCATATTATTTAGAAAACTATATCCGTATTAGACACTGACCGTTTTTGCTGATTATGGGCTAGTATGTCAAGAAATGCTTGAGTTAGCCTAAAATTGTAGTTGTAAGGAGGAAGAATGCTGTCCTGATTTTTAGGATGATTTCTAACCAACCCCTTTCCCTGGTTCTCCACTGTCTGTCTCAATCAGAATAGAGCATACAAGAAGTTCAAATTGGGCCAGGTGTTCTCCTATTGAATGAAGGAAATGGGGAACAAAAAATGCTTGCTCTTACAGTTTCTCATGATATGATATATCCAGCCCTCCAAAAGCCTTGCAACAAGAAAAGGAAGTGAAGGCCTGACTTCTAAAGGAGAAAAGCTTATTTTAAAAGCTTGAGGCAATAGAGAACGTATGCAACAGACTTGCAATATATAGAGAGCAAGGGAGCAAAACAAATCTTGAAGTACGCTTTTGGAAAAAATGGCATACATACTGTTCTATTTACTTCATTATAAAGCATCCAAAACTGTTTTGCCATTTAGAGAAAATGTATTGGCTTTTCACCTAACTTTTCTGCAATGTACACGTGCAATACATAGCTGATGAAGAGCTGCTTTAAGTTTTTCCTTTTAAAATCTAGTTTTTAAAAAGTTAAACCTCTGTGGATGCTTAATACAATGCACCTGGTGACCTCCTTTCAGTGTGGTGGAGCATTACTGCCTTTAGGAAAAACAGTACTCTTTCACCTCACAATAATTTGTTACTAGAGCTGCTTATGCAACTACTCCCTATTATGAAGAGACGTTGCTGAGTGTTAATACTATCATATAGGAAAGTGAGCTAAATCTTAGGGTGTGGAGAGTAACCACACTAAACTTTAAGTATACCTCACTTCTACTACATATGTCTGGTTGCTGTCATCTGAACATTCTTTCAGAGGAGGGGTAAATTGACCACTTGGGAGTCTATTTTACTTTGAAGAATGAGGGTGGTTTTTATGCAATGTACCTTTTATGATTTTTAGAATATTTTAAGGATCGAGATGAACTTTTCAGATCTACTTGCTAGCTGTTCTGGGGTTAACAGAAGTGAACAATAAAAGTCTTACTGGAATCTGGCTTTAATTGAAAAGGAGATGACTAAGGGGTGGAGTATGATAGAGATCTGTAAAATCATGACTGAGTGTGGAGAAAGTAAATAAGGAAGTGTTATTTACTCCTCATAACACACAAACTAGGGAAATTGATGAAATGAATTTCCAAATGAAATTAATAGGCGGCAGGTTTAAAACAGAAATATATCTTCATACAACACAGTCAACCTGTGGAACTTTGCCAAAGGATGTTGTGATGGCCAAGACTATAACAGGGTTCAAAAAACTAGATAAATTCATGGAGGATTGGTCCATCCATGGCTATTAGCCAGGATGAGCAGGGATGGTGTCCCTAGCCTCCGTTTGCCAGAAACTGGGATTGGGAGACAGGGAATTGATCACTTATGAAAGTCTAATTTTGAGATCTATACATGTTTTCATAAATGGCAGAATCTTAATTTTATAGCTTTGATTGGTAATGGCACTTGTGATGCAATGACACTTTTACATTGTACTTAAATTTCACTCAATTTCCAGTTACCGTTAATTATGAACAGGTGATAGTCTGCTTTGTGCAGCTTCATCAGGAGATCAGAAGCAGGCAGTGTTAAGGAGCAATCCCTTTCCTCGGACTTCTCCACCTACATAACAAATGTACATTATAATAATATATTCCTATATCATTAGCTCAAAGCTATTCAAGCAGTTTTTTGTTTGCCAATGTCATCAGAAGCTTCTAACTAAAGAGAGCTTATCAGTTACGTGTATATATTGTCTGTCTTTTACAGCAATGACAAGCAAGGTCTTGTACTTAACCTTTGGCTATACTGGCATTCATTGAAGGTTCTAATATACTTCCAAAACCTTCAGAATACATTTTAATTATTCTTACCTCTCAACGTTAGAAGTACACTACTTTTTTGTGAAACTGAGTGTAAACATTAAAAGCGTTTGCTACAGATGTGTCAGAGGGTTCTTTAGATTCTAATAGTATTAATGAGCATTTTTGCATTTTTCGTAAGTGTTTTTTCTTTCTTGTCTTTCTAAACTGAGACCATTCATAGGGACTAGATAACAGTTGAATTCTGTGTAACAGTGGTGACAGATAAAAACCCAGTTAAAATAACACCACTCTTTCAATCACCCAGGCTCAATCTTGGTGACCTCTTCAATTCTTCTTCCCTTCCCTTTCACACACTCCGCTTTTCAGACCACCATTTCCAAAATTTGTCCCTTTGTCAGTATTAAGATACTTGTCCATGCTCTGGTAACTTTCCTTGTTGACTATTGTGATCTTCTCCTCTAGCCTTCACCTTCCTATACTCTGCTCTTTCCCTGTCTCTGTATATTCAAATGGGAAGATTGTTTTGTTTCTTTCTGATCTTACCATCTCTCTCCAACCCCAGATCTCTGAACAGACATCCCCATTCCACATTTAAGTCGAAGCATCTCTGCAAAGCACTAACTAATCCACTTCTGCCTACATCTCTTTATTCATCTGTTCCAAAAGCCCCTTCCTACAGACTATTCAAGCTTGTCTCCTGAATTCTGCATCATTATGTGTAACGCTGCCTACAGTGACTCGAGAGTGAGAGTACCAATCTCAGGGCAGACTGCTAGGAAGCATGGCACAAACCCCAAATTAGTTGAGAATTCTATATAGAGATTTCACCAACCAATTATCAAGTGTGAACTCTTCAGGCACTAAAACAGCTTTAATGTGGAGTCATATCTAGTCTCCTTCAGTACTACAACCTATCTTATCATCCAGGTGAATGTACCTTTGTGATAGATGGTCCCTTACACCAAGAATCACTTCAATATTCAGGTTACTCCTAGTCCCAAAGGACCACTCACTTACCCCAGGTCAGTTGCACTTTAGATCTCACACCAAAGACAACACTTGTAGCCAATCCTATAATAAACTATATGAAGATTTATTAAATAGGAAAAAGAGACCAGAGTTATTTTACAAGGTTAAAGCAGGTAAAAATATACACACAAATAAGTTTCAAAAGGTAATAGAAGCTTCTATAATCAGCAAGCTCTGTATGTCCTTTAGGGCTAACCCAAGCTAAGCAGCTGAAGATCTCTTGCCTATGCCAAGAAAAACCTTGCCTCCCAGAGTCCAAGCTGCAGACCTAATTCCTTTTATTTGGGGGCTTCTCTCCCTCTCCTGCTATGTGCAAACTCAGTTTCATGGGAGGAATCCACTGGCATGACTCATCTTCTACTCCTGGGAGAATTCTGTGCCACTGCAATTGCACAGAATTTGTGTTCCCCACAGATTTTTTTGCTTCCTTTTGCTTCCCCGTGAGAGGTCATTTTTTGGCAGGGAAGTCACAAGAGCAGTCATGCGACTTGCCCCAGCAATGTGTTTCAGATGCCCAGGGCAGCTGGCAGAGAGAGAAATCACTGTCCCCAGTCCCCCAGCATCTGAACCACCACTGAGACCCCCACACCCAGACCCCCTCCTAAGCTCTATCCCCCCCACACACACACCCAGGCCTCCTCGCTGCTGAGCCCCAACCACATTCACCTTGACCCCCCCCCCGCAGAGTCTCATTACCATTGCACGCAGAACCCCCCAACAAGCCCCTGTGCATCCAGATTGCCCGCCCCCCATTGAGCTGCCCACACCCAGATTTCCCCACACAGAACTCTCTCGACCCACACCTGGATCACCCCACATTAAGCCCCTCCACACTTGGATCCTGGCTTGCTAAGCCTGCCTGGCCACATGGAGGGGCAGGGCCTTGAGGCGCTTTTGGGGCAGGCCAGGTCTTTATGCTGTGTCAGGGTTGGGTGCAGTCTCACTGCTGAGTCCATGTCCCAGCGGGGAGCTGCACAGTGATCTCCCATCTCTGTGGCAGCCAGTGGCTTGTGCTCCCCAATGCCATGCTGGAGCCTCCGCGTTTATTTGACAAATAAAATTTGCAGAATTTTAAATTTTTTGGCGCAGAATGCCCTCAGGAGTAAGAATCCTCACTGGGGCTGGGTGGGAGAGAAGCAACAAATGCTGCACACATTCTTATAATACCTATTTTAACAGGGCTAACACACAGGTGAGCCATAGTGATTTCAGCTATGTATTTATCATTGCTCAGTTGTGACATGGGGACCTTGGCATGAGCTGGCACCTGGTCTGCCAGCATCACAGTATCTTTCACCCACTCTTGCTTTCCCACTATCCAGTGTTCCTGGAACGACTTCCAATTGAATGTATGCTAGCCGCCTTCTCTTCCAAAACTTGCCATACAGTATTGTACTTGCTCTTGCTTTTAGATTAGAAATTTATTGGTGCAGGTACTTGTTTGACGCAGGTCAACTCCTGTAAAGTATCTGGTATGATTATGGTACTATGTGTGGCTGCACTAATTTACAGTATAAAACACGAGAATAGGTGTTGAAAAGAACTGATTCAAGTGTGTGTTCTCTGAGTCATTCAGTCCTTGGCCTCTCTTGAGACTAACAAACTCATTTCACGAAGGTCATCAAGTTCGCATTTGGGGCACGCTCAGATTTCATGACCGAAAAATAACGTGTAAATAGCTTGTTTTCACACTTCTTCAAATCTCTTTAACCATTTTGATTCCAATAAGTCACTGGTATAGTACTACAGTTTCTGTGATACTTACCCATGTAGTTGCACTGGGCTTTGTATAGAGATGGGTAGGCTGAATTTGGACTCTGATGCCTGCTGATTCCCTAGCTGGTGTCTCAGTTGAAATCTAGTGCATAACGGGAAGTCCAAACTCAGAAGCCTGAGATTCTGTCTCTCTGTAAGCGAAACAAAAAATGTCAACGAAAACAGTTCAGAATGTTCTCTCTAGAAATGTTTTCCCTTTTCTGATTCACAGAGGGCAGTGCACACAGGCTCTAAGTCCTTTGGAGATCTTGGTTTAAATGTGAGTGATCTGTAAATCTCTGATACGAGACTGAACAAGAAAAGCTGTCTCTTTCCACCTTTCTGCAACATTTCCAGAATTTTTTCCTGGCCTGTACAATGGAGCTGGATTAATAACTGAAGAGGCTGGAAATATTCAGTGACGAAGACTCCTGTATGCTAGTGTGGGGGACTAATATTCCCATTTTAACTGAGCCTCATGAGCTCCATATGACTTAATGATACCTTTTCTCCATTTCCTGTTTGGCATAGCACTAGTATGTAGACATTTATGCAGTTACTCTCTCTTCTAGGTGTGTAAGCATCTGCTCGTTGGCCTTCAGCATGGATGGCATGTTCCTCTCTGCATCCAGTAACACAGAGACAGTGCACATCTTCAAACTCGAGACTGTGAAAGAAAAGTAAGTTTCAGAAGTGCTCAAGAAACAGACTTGTTTGGCAGTCTGGATGAATTCTCAGGAGCTTGGACACTTCCTTCTTTTGAAAACCCCTTACTGTTAAGGACATAGCAAGACAATTGTGGATCAACTGGCTGAATTCAGCTGCTGAGATACACATGTCCCTCTGTAAATAGAAAAACTATTTCTATAAGTTGGAACATCCTTAGGAGAAAAATGGAGACGCTTAAATTTTTTTTAATCACATGTGCCTTTTACTACACAGTCAGTCAAGCTCCCCACCTGCATATATCATAGTACTGACATGCATGGAGTGCCATAAAAGGCTGCAACTAAAAACACTTATGTTTGTGTGGGTTGAGGGCATGGAGCATATTTACACTCTAGATTATCATTTCAAGGGTGACCTGCAAAGGGAATTTGGATTTTTGCCTTGTTTGCTGCTTCATGATGCATAAAGGTGTTCTAGAAAGGTTTTTCAGTTTTCCTGCATGATCTTTATATTAGAACTTCAGTTGTTGTTGTTTACTGTTGTCTCTGAGGCCTGGTCTACACTGCGGTAGGACGACTGCTGACGCTCCCCCGTCGACTCTGCCCTAGCGTCTCGCTCTGGTGGAGTACCGGAGTTGACGGGAGAGCGCTTGGTGGTCGATTTATCGCATCTTTGCTAGACGCAATAAATCGACCCCCGCTGGATCAATCGCTCCGGAAGTAAGTGTAGACATGCCCTGAGACTCTGGAAAATGGTTGGATTATGATACTAGATAAACAATAGTGAAACTTGATTGAGAATGGAAGTGATTCTTTTATATAGTCAGGTTGCTTAAATTTTTGTTAACACGTTATCATGCAATTTTATAAATAGGGGAAAAAAGTTAGCAATTTAACAGCCTATCCATTCGCTAAAGGGCTAAGAGTGCTCATAGTACATGAGACTTGCAGTGAGAAGCCCAACAAAAATAGGGGATACCAGACTTATCAGTAGTGTTATTTCTAAGGGGGAGGGGGCAAACAAGGAAAAGAGCCTTTATACATAAAGTAAAAAGACCACCAGACATCCTTCTCTTGTTGCAGGTTGTTTTTAATGTCAAAGTACACAATTGAATTCAACTTTCCCTTTTCTTCCTCCTGAACTGTAGACCTCAGGAAGAGCCCACTACCTGGACAGGTTACTTCGGAAAAGTGCTGATGGCCTCCACAAGCTATCTGCCCTCTCAAGTCACAGAAATGTTTAACCAGGGCAGAGCCTTTGCTACAGTTCGCCTGCCATTCTGTGGACACAAAAACATCTGTACTCTTGCCACGTGAGTAAGGAGATGAGGTTTTTTCCCACCACCTGGTGGACTGCCAGTATCAAGCAAAGGAAGCCTTGACAGAATAGATAATGTTCCAAGGTTTTCTGGCTTGTCAGGTCACACATCTCCTCTATAGCTAAATGGCTAATGTATAGAACACATCAGGGATTGGATTGCCATTTGTTAACCATTTCAAAGCTTCGTCCTGCTCAGGAACAGTGTGTGAAAACTAATTACTCAGAGCCCGACTGAAACAGAAGGCATAAAGTTTCTTCAGGGATGATTGTGGAATGAATTGCTTTTTAAAGAGGATTTTGTGAGCTTCCAGAAATCCTTCCTGGTGAAGGAAGAATGTTTAAAAACAGACTCAAACCTAGAATATTCATTCCCCATTAGTGCTGAATGAAATGTTAATGCATTTTGATATTAAGTTGTTGTATTAGACAGTCGTGACTATCCAATTCAGAAGACTTTAAGGTGCCAAATCTGGGGTCTGCAATTCCTAAGACAAGCTCTTAAATTTGGGTAAAAGTGTAGTATTTGAGTCTTTTTTTAACTGACTACACACATTTTAGTCTTCATTCTGTCTGAACCAAAAGTGGCGCATTTGGCACAGCTATCAAAGCAATAAACTGTGCAGTATTAAATGTGTTTTGTGGGGAATTAATAAATTTGTGCTGATCTACTCAAACTTACAGGTTTCATTTTACATTTAATAACATTTCATCTGATCTCGGAGCTCTCTGCAGACATTAAATAAGCCTCACCTCATGCCTGTGTGGTAGGGAAGTATATCACCATGTTAGATGGTGAAACTGAGTGCCATGCAGTGCCACAGTGAGTGAGTAGCGGAGCTCGTATGCGAACCAGAGGCTTGACTCCTTGTCTCCTTTAGCCATTAGACAACACTGCCTCCACATGTGAGTTAATTAACATGCACGAGACCTACACAAATGGCTCCCTTTAATGTCAGTGGTAGTTTTGTGCCAGATTCCCCTGCATGTTACTTTTGTCATGGGAGCCCTGCATATGTAGCCATTGAACCAGATTTCTTATGAGCTGTAGTGAGGGGAAAGCGATCACTTAGAAACCACAATTTTCTGCTGGTATATATATAATATATATATATATAATGGTTATATACCATTCCTAAAACTTGGTTTTCTGTGTCCTCTCCTAATCTCTTCTAGAATCCAGAAGATTCCCCGTTTACTGGTGGGAGCTTCTGATGGGTACCTCTATATGTACAACCTGGACCCACAGGAAGGAGGAGAGTGCACACTAATGAAACAGCACAAGTAAGTCCAGACTCGGTCCTACCTGTGTACTTGTCACGTTTGGTTTTCTAATATAACTGGACTGACAAAAATCTTTGTTCCAAAACTCATTTCCTCCTGCTGAACTCAAATCTTAGAGCTCATTTTTGTATTGATATTTTTAAGAGCAGTGGCAGGAGGTGAGTAACCTTTAGAATCTCCTTGCTTCTTCCTTCCTAGTAACTGTTACACTAAGCATCACTTTCATAGCAGAAACTTAATGCTGTCTGATTGCAGTCAAGAATCAATCTGCTGTCAGTCTATACTCCTATCTCCTGCCACGCAGCTGGTGGTTCAGTTACTTTAACAAGAATATGAAACATGACACCTAACACACTTCTTCCATGGGTGAGAGAACTTTCCAAAGGTGGGGAAGCATCATCCCCATTTTACAAATACAGAAACTGGCTCCTGCACTAATATCTAATGTCATGGGACAGGCTTACTTGTAAGCTACCTTGTCTGTAGGCTGGACACATGGTCTGTTTAGTAGCAGGTCTGTAGAATGGTTTAGGAGAGATCAGGGTTGATAGCATAGCAAGGATTCATAGGTTTTTAAGGCTAGAAGGGCACCCTTATGATTACCTAATCTGACCACCTGTATAATGCAGGTCATAGAATTTCACCTAATAATTCCTGCATCAGGGCTAGAATATCTTTTTGGGCAAGAGCATATCTTCTACAAAAAAGTTGAAATCTTGATTTAAAGACTTCAAGTCATGGGTAATCCACCACATTACTGTGTGAATTGTTCTACTGGGTAATCCTCATTGTTTAAAAAAATGCATTTCTAGTCTGAATGTATCTAGCCTCTGCTTCCAGCCACTTAACTCGTTATGCCTTTGGCATAATTTAGATGATTTGTCTTCAGTGTTTGTGATGAGAAATGCAGCCCGCCAAATGCTTTCCCTACAATTCTCTGGAAGGCTGACACCTCTCGGTCACAATGCAAGTGATGTGTGACATTGAAGATTGAGGAACTGATTACAGTGATCAAAGGCATTAAAGATTTTATTAATATTACACATGTATGATTTTTTTTGCATGCCTAATGTGGAGGTTTTGCACAATTGGTGTGCAGGGGTATTGACTGCAGTTGTATTGGTGATTGTTCCTTGAACCACTTCTGCACATCTAATCTCTTTCTCTGCCGACTAGGCTAGATGGCAGTATGGAGCCAGCCAATGAAATTTTAGAGTCTGCGTCACATGACCGGCCACTAGTAGCACAAACCTATAGTGCTGCTGTGACAAAAGGTACTTATGTGCCTTCATCACCCACAAGACATGGTAAGGCTAATGCTGGAAAACTGGGAGAAGATTCATCTAAAGATGATTCTATCCAAGATGGCTTCTTGTGCTCTTCCAAGTTTTGGCCTTTATCTTTATGACTCTGTAAACCTGTTATGAAGCATTTGTTCTGTTAGTCGTAGTGGAAACAGAGGGTAGCTGTTAAGTGACTCTGAGAGCCACTTTGGAAGCTTCACGGGACAGATCGTTTGTCTTTGCTACTTTCTGGGCAGTCTGGACAGAACTGAATATGGAACTGTACTGGGACACCATAGTAATATGTGCCTTAGGTTATGATGTTTTGTTAACCTTACGTAGTGTTTGGACAGACTCTTGGTATCGGCTTCTGTGCAGCATTTGGACTGCAGTCCTTTTGTAAGAGTTGCACAAGATACCCCAATATTTCTGTTGCTGTCATGGTGACTTTTGCCACTGTCCCACCAGTCTGACATACAGATTAAATCTGTACTGGCTTGGTGGAGTCCAGAATTTGAGTATGTTAGGGTTCCCCAAGTGAGTGGAGACCAGGTATATAGTTAATATAACCAGTATAAGTACCCTCAGTTCCTTTGTTGGTGGCACACTGGCAGAAGATTTGGCCATGGAGATGACACATTTCACCGTCCCAGGGTGAATGCTGTGATGATCACAGCAGTGTCGGGGGAGGGGGTCAAGATTGTCAGCCCACCTGCTCAGAACAAGGGAGTGAGCTCTGCTTAAATTTGGAAGCCTGATGATGACCTCATCAGCAAATCGTGGTTTTAAAAAACACTGACTTGTGACAAAGCCAATCGAGAATGGCAATGGTGCTGTTGCAGGTAGTGTCTTGTACTTCAGCTTATAAACTTGCATCGGGAGCTTTCTCGCATCCAAGCTCCAATTTTTGCTACTGAACCCCAAACACTATCATTGTTTCTGCAGCCTATACAGAGGATCTGGGTGCAGTGGGTGGAGCTTGCCTGGAAGATGAAACCAATGCGCTGCGATTGGACGAAGACAGTGAGCATCCTCCCATGATTCTTCGGACTGACTGAACTTTTGACCTGTGAACTCACTCCTAAAGCTGAGAACACTGGCCTGATGTTTCTTGAGGAATCTCGTGTTATGCTGCTATGAACTTTGGCATGAATTGGGAGAGAGGATGACAGACTCCAAAAACAGTTTTAAACGTTGTAGCTGTAGTCCTAATTCTATACCATTGGAAAAATATATGGTTTCAATTCAGTGGCTTTTAATCTTGCTTATCGATTTTAGCTGTGTGTGGTTTTGCTTTTGTTTTTGGGCGGGGTTTGTTTTGTTTTTGTTTTGTTGCCAAAACCTGCTCTTTGTGCAGTCCTCAACCTACTAGCTTTGCATGCATTCATGTGCCAAGCAAGCATTGGCGAGAGAAGCCACTTTATAACAAACTAAAGTTTGTATTTTTTTATATATGTATATAATACTTAGCATATATAAGGAAGGAGTGGAAAAGTGTTTCTGGATGCTGAGGCTGGTTCTGCACTGACAAAGGTCCAAATGGTTTCCTGTGCATTGGCTTGCAGGCATGCCTCATGACTGACATGCAACCTTTAAGATGCAATATCCTGTTTCTTGGGTTTCCCCCTCCCCTTCCCTGAACCATTTGGTTAATTAAAATTCCTTCTGAATGTTGCTTATTTGTGGGAGTGTTCTGTTTGTTGGGATGGAAGGCCTGTTCCCTGACTGGAATTTCTTCTGTCCCCAAGAATATGTAATATAGAAAGTGCCTGTACAGGAAAAATCTTAGGGGAAGGAAAGCTAGGAAGGGGTAGACACTTACTGTTGTGGGTTTTTTTTATGTTCATCTATCCTTGCTGTTTTGGAGCTGTCTGTCTTCAAGCCAAGTTAGCCAATATGCTGACTTAGAAGAGGTGTTTCAGGTTAATAACTTGGAAAGCACTTTCTTCCTCCCTCCCTCTGTTAGATCAGTTATGTCCCTGGCAGAGCAGCAATAATCTCTCATTTTATACCTGCTTTAATCCCTCGGAGCAAGGCCAGCATCCTTCCTGCTAAGGACTGGATGGCGATAGCTTCAGAGACTCAGCCCTACTTCGTAAATGGCCTTAAGGTTTTGCACTGGGAAGATACAATGCTCCCCTCTCCTTTCCTTGTCTCCATCCAATTTGGATCTGAGCATGCTGCCTCAATAATGAAGGTTCAGGAATTATGGAATGCTGATGTAAATATAAATGACTATCCACTTGAGTTCCAGCTTTTGAGAGTTATTAATCTTCTCTCAAGTGTTCCTTGGATAACTAAACTACACTATGTGTTGCCTCCATTTCCACCAGCTTGAGGAGCACTTCTGATGCACTTGAAAGGGATGGTTGTCCTTTTGGCAGCTCTGGAATGACTGTTCTTGAACTGCTGTGACCCTGGCTAGGAGTGAACAAGGTTGGGCAATGCTGCCATCTATTTGTGCCTTTTGCTAAATCTTGGATATATTAGGTGAGCAAAATGATTACCACAGCATTTGGGTGTGAGTGTTGCTTTCCTTAGACTCTAAGCCTCCTTTCACTTTCAGATAGTGAAACTGATTACCCATCTCTCATTCTGGCACCTCTTCAAAACAAACAAACAAAAAAAAAACCCCAAACCAATTGGAACAAAAGAGTCATAAGTCTTGAGAGAAAACAGAACCAGGATTTCCTTGAGTGCTCTCACAAATTTAACTTTCCTACCAATCACACAAAACTATGGTGCTGCTTAGATTTAGGATTTGCTACTATGCATGCTGTTGAATAGGGGCATGCAATGGCAGTTGGTCCTCAGAGCTCAACGCAGGTAGCTGGGCTTCTGTTTCCTTTAAGGGAGCAGAGGATGGTGGTAGGCCCTGCCAAAGAGTCATATTGTGTACAAACTTACCGATAGTCATGCTGTCATTATAAAATGAACCGCTGTTGTTCAAATCAATTTCCTGGAAGGGAATCTTCACCATTCTCTCCCAAACCCTCACCACATGAGAAGGATCTGGGAAGCATCAGATTTGCCTCTACCCACTTTCTGAGCTCTCTACTGTTCTGGATATGTTGAATGGAGCAACTAGTTTGGGCCTCTTCAGTGGTCTCCTCTGAGTGTATTGTGTTCTGAAACATGTTGAAATCTCATTAAGTCTCCGAACTTCAAGCTCTGTCAGAAAACTAAGCCCCATGAATAAAATTTGTTACCATTTGTGAACCGCTGCAGGCTTTGCTGTGCAATTTATAACTTTTAGTGAGGCCTGAAATGCAAGGCTTACAGCAAATACAAGCTCAGCAGGTTTTGTTGGTAGCTGTATAACTACCAAAAGACTTCAAATGTAGTTCTGGTCACGTCCGTTTTGATAACTCATTCGGAGGCTTGGCATAAATTCTAAGCTCCATCAGAAGAGCTTGTAATAAACAGTCATGAGCACCACTGATGTAACATAGGTCTGCTAAAGGTACAAGCTTTACAACTTTTGAGTTATAACGGCACCAAAAAATACTTTCCTCCGTTTCAATGTAAACTAAGGGAATTTCTTGACTGTTTCCCTTTTTAAAAAAAAAAAAAAAAAAAGTGAGTGCTAGTGTACAACACTCTCAAAATACTACACACCTGTCAGGACATTCATAGTTATGGTTCCAACACCAACCTTAGCTCTGCCTCTCTCCTCGTCGTCTACCTATAAGCTTGAGACCCCACACATGCTAACTATATTTCCCATAAATGCCATAGACTACCATCTCCACCCATATTCTACATATGGACAGGTGAATTGCCCACTAGACTCAATACTCCCCCAATTCACCCTTCTGCTCCAGGCTGAAGGCGATAATTTCTAGTATCTTGACTTTCCTGTGCAGTCCAGAGATTATCCTTTCTTGGCCAGCATACCCCTATGGGCCAGAGAGCCCAACCTACCTCACTCACCATCACTGCTGTACCCACCTGTCCACTGGTGGTCAAAGAAGCCACTTTCAAGAGATCTGTCTTTATCCAAACCACTCCACACACCAGCTAGTCACAGATCCTAGAATATGTAATGCCCCTGACTATGGGGATGACTTACCTCTGTTTCTGTCCCCATGGAAAGGAGCTGGCTTGCATGTAGGCCCTGCTTGGCAACCTCCTTTCTGTCAGGTAAGATGTGACTGCCATATCTCCCACCTGGCCCTATCTCTTAGGTCTGTCACCAGTCATGATGTAAACAATTCAGGTGTTGAGAGACACTCATTGCATTTCCTCTTCCATCTCCCGTTCAGCCTTGATCTTAAACCGTGCACCAGCAGAAGTGGGAACCTGGCCATTGGTAACTGGCTGCTGACAAATTTAGGAGTTCTCTTCAGCATAGGGCTTAATCCCAGGTGGACAAGGACCTGCCTTATAGTGACAACCCACTCTTCCATCATGTATCCTCATATGACTAAGGAGCGTACTCTTGGAATTCCTGTGCTCCACAGTGCAGGTGGTAAAACCTTTAACTGTGTATTTCCTGAGTTCCTAGTGTGTGTGTGTGTGTGTGTGTGTAGGGTTCATATTCTATTATCACTCTAGTGGGCAATATATTCTTAGCCATAACTTCACCTATTATTTTTTTTAAATACTGCACTTATCAAAGGCTTATTTTTAAAAATAAAGCTTTCTGGGGGACAAGTGTCAGTATGGGGTAAAACGTATAACCAAAGATGGCCTGCTGTGGGGGGGGGGAGAAATGTGCGTAGACTCGGAATTCTAAACTCAGGTGTTGCTAGGTTCTGGTGTTCCTAGTTCCCATTGAGTACCATAGATAGAGGGGCTGCATTTCAGATACATTCTGTTAATGTGTCCATAGATAGCAAGTATGGTTGTTCTGTGGCTGCCTTGAGATCGGTCAGTTCTTGTAATTTTTCTCTTGCTTATTTTTTTTGTTGAGTTATGAACCAGGAGATGTTGCATGCTTTGGACTCGCCCCACAGCATTGCTTCCTGCAGGAACAGTAGGTAAATCTAGCACTTAAAAGGTAACTGGGCATGGCAGAGAGGGGAAGTGACCATTGTGGAACCATGTGAGGAAATGGCAGGAGGTTCGTAAAAGCTGCTGCTTTTTTCCTAAAGTCCCAATTCAGCCAGGCACTGAAGCACGTGAGTAGTCCCAATGAAATCAGTTAGGCTCAAACTTAAGCACCTTGCTGAATTGGGGCTTCGCTGAGGAATTTCTTAGGGCTAATATCCCAGGGCTAAATTTCCATAAAGGAGTAGGAAAAAGCTATAGCCTTCTTCTTAACTGCCTCAGATTGCAAATGAACATCAGTTGAGTACAAACCTGAAGCTGTTTCCTTAAGTATAGTAACAGGAGTTTCCAGCTGAAAGGAAGTTGTTTACAGCTAATAATTTTTTAAAAAGGGAGACCAATGGGAGAACTACCACCACTTAATTCAGCCAGAGACCTAGGATTGCGATTCTGATCAGCAGAACTTTTTTCTACTGGGAATCTCACACTCTGCTTCCTGCGTTCTAATAATGGCATCTGCACAAAAGAGAACGTGTAATAAGGCTTTAGAATTTCTTTCCTAGAGGGTCACCTCAGGTGCTCAGCATAGCTTTCTCTCGTATGCAGACCAGTTGCTGCTGTCTGCGGGAACAATCATGTCCTCCCACCCCCAAAGGCATTGTCTGTGGTCCTCCTCACTGCACTGCACTTGAACAACTCAAAAACCCTGCCCTGCTTTGAAAGTTTTACCCCTTACAGTTAAAACCCAACTGTAAGGAGTGCAGTAAAGTTTTGATTTAACCTAGTAGCACTAGAGGTCAAGACTAAAATGTCTTCTCTGAGCAAGCATAATTCTTCATGTTTCTGGGAGTTACGCCATATGTTGAAAGGCGATTAGACCCTTAAAATGCTAATGCGGCTCAGGAAAGTGCTCACAGGCAAAAGAGTCTGGCTCCTGGTGTGTGAATAACTCACTTCAAATTGCAATTTCACAATTGAAGGCACTTAGCAAATTTTCATTTATGCATCTTTGATACTTAACTGGCACAATCCATCTCTGTAAAATAGCGGACAACAGGTCTTCACTCTGGCTTGCAACTTTTCCATGTGCATTGTGGGTGTCTTGACTCTTCTGTTGCTCATACGGTTGCAGTAATTGCACATTAGTCCTTACTTCCTTTGTACAGAATTTGATTCATTGGTGGGTGGGTGGGGAATTTGGTAGTAACTAGCGTGGGGAATCAAATCCCAATCCCCAGCTCCTGAATTGAATGGAGTCAGTCTTCTCAACCCTTTCCACCCAATCAAATCTTTCCCTTTCAGATTTCCTTCCTTACCTGGAGGAAGCTGCATCCTGCAGTGCTAATATGCTTCTGTTCAATGTCTGTATAAATAAATGGAAAAATCTGTTCACCAATAACATTCCACACTATCAAGTGTCCAGCTCTTATTGCTAGCCCATTGCTGTTCAAATTTTATAATTGCATAAGAAATTAAACCTGTGTTGTGATATATATTTTGTCTGCCTTATTCATTTGCTACATGAAACTGGGGTCTGTTAGCTATAGATGACTTTGTACAAAAGAGAGGAGCACTAGTTTGGGTAGAGCTGTAGCTGATAAAGCTACAGCCAACTCTGTGCCATGTTCTGCTGTCAAGGGACACCGTCAGTGTTAGTTTTACCTCTTACAAAACATTGCAAAG